ATAAGTAGCTCCATTTCCCATGTATAAAATAAGAACATGGCTACTGAAGGCTTTCTTGGCTTATGGGGCTATTTTTGAGAAGAAATGTTAAATGCCTGCAAAGCATTCTGCTTCCTGGGTATAATTACTGAGACAATGGAGCACGTTATTTTTATAATTCGGACTTTAGAATCGACAGACTCTCACAGCTCTCAAGAAGTGGCACTGGACTCTGCTTCTGACAGAAGGACGTGGGATGAGCCCCAAGTCGAGAGATACACACCAACTCTGGATGCTTTTTCTGGCAAACATCACACACGTGGCCACCAGCAGAATGACATCCAACATAGACATCCACTTTTTTTCAGCTCAGAAGTTCCACAGGCAGGTGACTAACGATGCCCACAGATGGAGGAGTGTGTTCTGTGCCCTAAAGGATCAGTGTTCATAGGCGGGATAATTCCCAATGCTCTTGGGTTGCCTAATTAAATATGTCACACTGTACATATGTGAAGGAAATGGATGTGTGTAAAAAATAAGGATTGTTCAATATAGGAAAATAAGATAAAATTTTCAGATTTAATTACCCTGGGTCAGCTTACCTCAAAGTTTTCCTCTCTTTCTTTTTAGCAACTTGAAAATTTAAACATATATAGTAAAATATTATACTCTGTAAAATATAGAGTATAATAGAACAAATATTAATATTATACCAGCTTTTAAAAATAACCAGAATATGATAGGCCTTTCTCACACTTTTCAAAGTGCAGCCCTGTATTAAAGGTACACTTATTCTTTCTGAGAATTACCAACCATAGTTGAGATGCCTGAACAATAAAAAGCATAACTCAATTATATTTGCTGGGTTTCTTAGCTGGATTCTCAACCACTCCAAACTTGTTTATTTTACTTCTAAGTATGGATCTCCTAATGGACTGTTGTTAGCGTCTAGAAACATTCCATTTGTTATATCATTGATTTTATCTGACTTACTGGCAAACATTTGGATTACATTTTAGCAAAGAGAAATAAAATATGTAGTGATTGATATATAGAGTAAGCTGAATAGCCTTCATTTTATTTAGTGCTAATGATACATAAGGCAGATTTAATCCTAATTCACCAATGAGCTCTGCCTATAGAGAAACTACTGTTCTGGGACCAAACCCTCTACCCCCAACCCAAATCAAACAATGATTTGATTGGTCAAATCATCTGTACAATGTCATCATTAGTTACCAAGAGACCCACTAAAGATGCAGGTGGGCAGGGGCCATCTCACCTCACTGCCAGGGAAGAGTGGGAAGCATTTAATAAGCCCTCATCACAGCCTCACGTGCCATGCTAAGCCCTTCACATCTACCGACACATCAAGTTCTCACAACAGCCCTCTGAAGGGGGCTTCTTAGTCTCCACATGTTACAGAAGCACAGACAGGTTAAGTACTTTGTCCGAGGTCACACAGCTGCTAAGAGACTGACCCAGGATTTGAACCCAGACAGTCTGACTCCACCTTCATGCTCTTAAATACATTGCAGCATCTCTAATAGAGCACCTACAGCCAAAACACAGGAGCTTCTGGATGGCAAGGGCGAGATCATATTTCTTCTGTATTTTCCATGTATTTGCATAATGGCTAAGTATTTAATAAATGATAGCTGAGCTGAATTCCTATCCAAGGTCAGCATTATATCTTTACATAATAAATGCAGAGTATTTAAATAAAAATGTAAATGTTAACATCATATTTCATGTCAGCATTCTCCAAGGGAGTCTTATTGGCTTAGCACACAGAGGGCTCCAGGCTGGGTGGCGCCTAGAAGGCCTAAATGGAAACTGCTTGTCTTGTATTCTTTGCAGAATTACTAATTTCTGCTCCTTACCTGAAGAGGCACAGAATTATGCTTCCTGTTGCAAGAGACATCAGAGAGACACTGTAGCCCAGGGTGTAAATGGCCTTCACCAGAATATAAAACGTGATCTACAAAGAAAGAAAATGGATCTGTAAGCTGAGAGTGACCAGCAGCACCAGACAACAGGAACGGTTCCAACATCCAGCCCTGTGCTCTGGCCATGAAGGACTCTTGCCTGCCTGGAAGGCATAAGACAGTCTCACTTTATAATTCCACCTCCATTTTGAACCAAAAAATGACCCCCACCACTCAGAACCTCTACTTTTTTCTTATAATTCATCATGAATGACTTCGCATGGTTCCCGTAAAGCACCTCTGTCTGAAGGGAACATGACCCGCCACCATCAGGGAAAGCAAAGGAAGGAAGCGCTGAGCTAAGTTCAGAAAGAGAGCTCAGTCTGTCCCTGAGGCAGCACATCTAGCTTTCTGACACTTCTGGATGAGCTCAAGTGGACACACAGGTCTGAGTACATTAAACACTATCACCTACAGGCACAGGGTGAGGTGCTCCAGACAGAAGTACTTGCCTAAGCCAGAGCCAGGTGCTGAGTTGCAGTATCTTGGGAATTTTATTTCCTTAACATTTCTTGGTTTAGCAAGGTTCATGGCTTGATACTTTTAATCTCCATGAAATCATCAGGCACAGGAGGGATTCATGATCATCACTGTGGCAGAATCACTGGGAGTTCTATGACAACAGGGAATCCTACACAAAAAGAACTGGGTCCTCTAGAAGGAAAACCAGTGCTGGTCATGATAAAACCAGCAACACCTGCAGGGCATCATCATAGCTTGCCACTCCCAAAGGCTGCTTCCTGGTCTGCATTTTCTTGATAAAGCTAATTCATATAAAATAAAGAGGGAAACAATCCACGTGTGCTTACATGATGAATTTTATTTTTGCCAAGAGGTCCTAAGTAAGTACAACCGAACCTCACTGTTATTTTACAATACAAAATTTAAGGCAAAACTCAAAAAAGTTATGCTCTTGTTTATTAGTTTGGCTCTTAATTATAACTTTACTGTTTAATTATTATTTAGAACTTATTAACCCATTTACTTTGCATTACAGGAATCTCTTCTTAGGAACCTCGGCCCTGCTTACTTAGGACAGCTCAGAAAAGAGCACAGAGTAGTCCTGGCCAGATCCCTCTTCCTTGCTATTCCTCATCCTTCCTGACTCCACTCATGAGAAGATGTCATTAACTACCACCTAACCACCCTCTCACCTCACCTAACCATCACATCACTTTACCCAACCACCACCCTCACCTCACTTAACCACAAGTCTCATCTAACCCATACTCCATCTAACCATGACCCTCACCTCATCTAACCACCATTCTCAACCATATTTACCTCACTTAGCCATAATTCTTACCTCACCTAACTGCCACCCTCACATCACCTAACAATCACTTTCATCTCACCTAACCACTCTCCTCACCTTATCTAGCCACCACTCTCAACTCATCCAACCCACACTCACTTCACTTACCCACCATCCTCACCTCACGGAACCCATCTTCACCTCACCTAACCACTAACCTCACCTCACCCAATCACCACCTTCACCTCACCTTACCACCACCGTCACCTCACCTAACCACCACTCTCAACTTACCTAATCCATACTCACTTCACCTAACCACCACCCTCACCTCACCTAACCACCCCTTCACCTCATCTAACCACCACCCTCACCTCACCTAATCACAAGTCTCATCTAATCCATACTCTACCTAACCATGACCCTCAACTCATCTAACCACCATTCTCAACTCATCTAACCATCTCCTTCATCTAACCACCATCTCACTTCACCTAACCACTCTTCTCACCTCACCTAACCACCATTCTCATCTAACCCACACTCACTTCACTTACCCACCATATTCACCTCACTTAGCCATAACTCTTTCCCCACCTAAGCCACCCTCACATCACCTAACAACCACTTTCATCTCACCTAACCACTCTCCTCACCTTATCTAGCCACCACTCTCAATTCATCCAACCCATACTCACTTCACTTACCCAACACCCTCACCTCACAGAACCCATCTTCACCTCACCTAACCACTAACCTCACTTCACCTAACCACCACTCTGAACTCATCTAACCCATATTCACTTCACCTAACCACAGCCTGCACCTTACCTAACCCACACTCACCTCACCTATCAGCCACCCTCACATCATGTAACCACCACCTTCACTTTGTTGTGGAAAGCAGTTTGCTGATTTCTCAAAGAACTTAGAACTACCATTCAACCTGGCAATATCATTACTGGGTATAAACCCAAAGGAACAGAAATCATTCTACCAAAAAGACATGCCCAGCACAGCCCTATTCACAAAGCAAAGACATGGAATCAATACGTCCCCATCAACAGTGGACTGGACTGGTACATACAGAGCATGGAATACTACACAGCCACAAAGACTGAAATCACATCCTTTGAAGCACCATGGAGGCAGCTGGAGGCCATCATCCTAAGCCAATTAGCACAGAAACAGAAAACCAAATACCACATGTTCTCATAAGTGGGAACAAAACACTGGGTACTCAGGGAGGAGAAACGGAGGGAGGGGGCAAGGGTTGAAAAACTAACTGTTGGGTACTATGCTCTGTACTTGGGTGGCGGGACCAGTCAGACCGCAAACCTTAGCATCATGAAATATATCCAGGTAATATATCCAGGTAACAAGCCTGCACATGTGCCCCCTGAATCTAAAATAAAAGTTGGGGGAAAAAAAAAAAAAGGCTGGGCTTGGTGGTTCACACCTGCAATCCCAGCACTTTGGGAAACCGAGGTGGGAGGATTGCTTGCTCCCAGGAATTTGAGACCAGCCTGGGCAACAGAATGAGACCCCCGTCTCTAAAAAAATAGAAAAATAATTAGCTGGCTGTGGTGCGTGTGCCTGTGGTCCTCAGCTACTGGGGAGGCTGAGGTGGGAGGATCGCCTGAGCCGGGAAGGTGGAGGCTGCCTGAGCTGTGATCGCGCCACTGCCCTCCAGCCTGGGTGACACAGTGAGGACCTGCCGCAAAAAAAAAAAAGTGAAAAAAGTGAAAAATAATCCATACTTCCACCCTTTCTCTCATTCAACTGGGCGCCCACCAGGGTTGAGAACGTGGGAGAAGCCGACAGCAGGAATGGCGGCCTTGGGGGTCTCACACTCAGCGGGAGGGCGAGCCGGGTGGAGTCCCGGGTCAAGCGCGGTGCGCGGCTGTGCGGAGAATCCAGGCCGGGTCGGACGCGCTGCAGCGGGAGGCGCCGCGGCTCTGGGGCCCCAGTGGGAGGGAGCGGCGGCCGCGTCAGGAGCGGATGATGGCGGGAGGGCGGGAAGCCTGGAGCCTCTAGAGGAGCCCCGTCCTGAGGAGCCTGGTCTTGGGGAGCCGGGTCCTGAGGGCCCTGCAGGGGGGGAGGTGTGGGGTCTTCCGGCGGCAGTGCGGCCATGGGGCGCCGGCGGGTGTGAAGCAGGCGAGAACGGGTCAGATCCCAACAGTGACTTGATGGTGGGACCCGCGGGCCTTCCCGACGGAGATGGGAGGAAAACGGCGAGGACGCCCCGAAGGCTTCAGCCCGAGCCCCGGTAAGCGGCAGCCTCAGCGGCCGGGAGGTGGGAGAGCAGCGCCAGCCTCGGGCTCGGGTCTGGGGGTCCTGGCGGGATCTGGGGTTCCTGGCGGGTCTGAGGGCCTCGCGGGATCTGGGGGGCCTGATGAGGTTTGTGGGTCCTGGCGGGATGTGGGGCTCTGGTGGGATCTGGGGGGCCTGGCGGGGCCCGGGGGGCGCGGAGCACCAGGTGCCCACACCCGGCTGGGGTTCAAGAGGAAGGTCGGGGCCAGAGGCGCCCCCTGAGGCTTCCTCAGGCTGAGGCAGCACTGAGCCCCCTGCAGCACTGAGGCCGCGGGCATTCACAAGAAATTCATCGACAAAAACGGCTCAAGTGATTCTGGACGGAGAAGCCGCGCCCGGCGTGGGTGGGCGCGGATGGAGCAGAAAGGAGGCGGAGCGGCACCTGCGGTGGGGGAGGGGCGGCCCCACGCGCGGGACCAGGAGGGCGCCTCCTTCCCGCGTCTCACAGGAGCCCGGAGGGCGCCTCCTTCCCGCGTCTCACAGGAGCCCGGAGGGCGCCTCCTTCCCGCGTCTCACAGGAGGCCGGCAGGGGCGCCTCCCTTCCCGCGTCTCACAGGAGCCCGGAGGGCGCCTCCTTCCCGCGTCTCACAGGAGCGCGGAGGGCGCCTCCTTCCCGCGTCTCACAGGATTCCGGGTCCCCTGCCCCGAAGCCGCTGGGGCCTGGCTGAGGCGACCCTGCACCTGGGCCCCGTGGGCTCCAGCGGGTCCACGGAGGACCCCCGGCTGCCCCTCTGTGCAGAGCCCTCCGGGACGGACCGTGGCAGGGAGGAATGCAGGAAGGGACGGAGACCGAGTGGAATAGGCGGCTTCTGAGTCAGCAGCGTCCGGGTTCGTTATGAGTGAGGATTCTGGCGGGGTGAAAATGAACGAGACCAGAATTGTGGTCTCAAGTGGGGGCGGCGAGCTGGGTGTTGGGCTGAAGGTGGCAGCAGCCACCCGCTGTCGGGCGGGGCTTCAAGGTCGGCAGCAGCGGGAGCGCAGAGGCCTGGGTTTGGGTCCTGGGTGCAGTGGCACAGAGGCCGGCCAGGCTGCTCTCTGGCAGCCGAGCAGTTGGTGCTGAGTGAGTCCTGCTGGTCAGCGTCCAGTCCCGAGGCAGATCCAGGGCCCTCTGCTGGCCCGGCCTTCACCCCAGTCTGGCACCACGTGGCCCCGGGGCTGCCTGTGCACAGCTGTGTGCTGGGGCACCGACCCTCCTTCAGTCCCTGCAGAGGCCTCACCTGGAGGCCTAGAGTTCCATGCCTGGCAAGACAGGCTTTGATACGGTGTGGAGGAAGCTCCTGTCCCAGCTCTGCAGGGGCCTGATGTTCCCCGCGTAGACTCTGCATCTCCACCTAATACTGAGAGCCGGCGGACCTTCCAGAAAGAAGCAGGCGGTGGGAACTCCGTGAGCCTTGGAGCCATGGCGGGCCCACTGCACGGCGCCCTGAAAGCTGGGAGGGCGGAAATCACAAAACGGTGTCGGAACTCCACACGATTCCTCCTGAACTAAGGCCTTCTTGGCTCTCCTAAAGGCCTGATCCCTGGGGGAGTGGAAGATCTGAGAGCTGAAAGAAGTGTCTGGATGTGTCTGTGTTTCTGAGTTGTTCTAGGACCTCAACCCCTGGATTTAGAAAGCCTTGGACAGCGTCATGCTGCTGTTCCCTCTGCCTGACCATCTCCCTCCTTCCCCTCCCCTGCAGTGGCTGCTGCAGGAGGCATCTGCAGGAGAAGGGGGCAGGAGGGCGGTCACCCCAGGTTCTGCCCCCCACTCCAGGCTCTGGCCCTCCTTGGCTGCTCAAAATACCAATCTTGCCAAGCCCTGGTGTCTGGGGTCCCTTCCCTGCCCCTCTGGCCAGGGTTCTGGCTTCCTGTGGATGGAGAGTAGAGGCTGCACAGTTCTCACAGGGCTCCTTGACTGCCCAGACCTCTGTAAGGATTCTCTGCATTTCAGCTCTTTTCAGTTTTATCCTTGGCATGTGCCAGCAGTGTCCTGTTTGAACCCCGAATCGACACACTGTTCCTTGCATGTACAATAACATTTTTTATGAACTACAATCCCCATAAAAAGACCATCAGATGGACCAGGAAAATTTTTCAACACTAAAGTTTTAGAACTTGAGATCGCACAAGAAACGAGAAGACATCAGGGACACAGTTACTGAAAGCACTTTGCTCGTCCTGTCTCAGAAACCCTCCACCCAGAAAGTACCCTGATTTCTCTGTGGTGCCCCTGGCCCACCTGTGGTTGCATTCTCGACCACAGTGTCCACTACAGAGTGCTCAGGGCTGACCCACACATTGCATTTAGGGAATGAAAGAAGCCACACACAGCACAGAGGTGTGAGGTTTGACCTCCCTGAGACAGAAAACGCGGGTGAAGCAAATTCATTTAACCCAACATGTGTTAGAGATTAAAAGAGGGCTGCTGGGGCAGGTTTTCCTTTAGGGGCCTGCTCCCACACTGTCTGTGGGATTCCACGATGCCTGCTCCAGCAGCATCCGTGGGATTGCAGGATGCCTGCTCCCACACCGTCCATGGGATTGCAGGATGCCTGCTCCCACACCGTCCATGGGATTGCAGGATGCCTGATCCCGCACCGTCCATGGGATTGCAGGATGCCTGCTCCAGCAGCGTCCATGGGATTGCAGGATGCCTGCTCCAGCAGCGTCCATGGGATTGCAGGATGTCTGCTCCAGCAGCGTCCGTGGGATTCCAGGATACCTGCTCCTGCAGTGTCCTTGGGATTCCAGGATGCCTGCTCCCGCACCATCTGTGGGATTGCAGGATGCCTGCTCCTGCACATTCTGTGGGATTCAGGGCACCATCCCGTGGATTCCAGGACAATTGCTCCCAAACCCTTCCATGGCATTCTGGGAGGCCACTCGGCCTAGTTGGACAGCCTCTGCTCTGGGATGGCTTGGTGGACCAAGCAGATTTGTCTGAATTGCTTCCACTCCCTGCATCTTTGTGGTGCGAGAACTAGAGCCCAGTGATGATGTTTCAAGGAAAGTTTCCCTATGCTCATTACTACTTACAAAGCCTCAATGGTGGGCTAACACATTTTAGAAAGACAATACTGATAAATACTTAGCAAGAAGACTAAATTCGTTAGTATAACTCCTTAAATTGTGCAGGTAATCAAGGTTGACATCAATTTTGATCTGGGAAACTAATGTAATTAATACAGTTTTAGAAGGGGAATTTTTTTTTTTTTTGCCTTGTTAAACCTCAGTAGGAAAACTGAGATCCAAACTGAGTGGAACTCTCCTGTGAGTGGGTACTGGCACTCTCCAACACATGCCTGCCATGTGTGGATACTGAAAGCTAAGTTAATTACACTTACATAAAATTGATATGCCAGTGACTCAGTTGCACCAGCCATAGGCTGCTCAAGGCCACATGTGGCCAGTGGCTGCCACACTGGACAAAGCAGATAAAGAACATTCCCATCAGTGTAGACAGTTCTGTTGGCACAGAGACCATACGACCACCATTCACCCACATGAGCACCTTCACTCCGTTAATCAACATTTGCACGTGTGTATTCTCCAGTCTCACATAAAGGGCAGCCAAGCAGATGAGCTGACCCATTTAAAAGTCATCGCCTCTGTTGTGCAGCTGTAGGATTTATTCCTAACACAGAGCTCTGGATTCCAGGTGTGTGGGGGCAGGTCCATGGGTAATGCCCAGAACTTATAAAGCATGATCTGTTTGAACAGCACTAACCTTTCCACCAGTGGCCCAGAACCTGGGTGCATGAGGAGCTGATGCCAGCCTGACACCTGGAAGCTACACGCATCCCATGAGCTCAATGCTTTCAAATTTTCTTGCAACAAGAAGATGCTCCACTCGACGTGGGTATTTTAAATCTCAAGGACGTACAATCGCTCTGATCATCACACGATTCTAAAAACACCATGATTTCCTACTAGAAAGAAAGAATAATCCAGCAGGAAATGTTCCTGAGCAGAAAGGCCCTAAACTAACAGCTGCAACTCCAGGGAGCGGCGGGGTCACAGCAGAAGTTAATTCCAGCACTGATGTTGGAAAGAAGGATTTGCAAGACCTTCAAGTTATTTCCCTTGACCCAAGATCCGGTCAAGGCCAAGGAGAAGGGCAAAAGATAATCTCATAAGTTCAAGGCTATCACTTGGGCTTGCCAAAAAGAAGCAGGTACTTTGCTGCTGTCACTTGCAACGGTTTGTGGCTGGGCAGAGCCATCATCAAGGCAGGAAGGGCAGGTGCTGCGGGGGCAGCTAGCCCCTCTCTGTAGAGGTCCTTGAGCAAGCCAGGCTGCGGCTCCTGCATACTAACCTCAGGGAGCTGCCCACAACCAACTTCAGAAGTGAACAGCAACTGGCTCAGAAATTTAAAAACACTGAGGCCAATGGTGTGTTTACTGAAAATATCAAGCACATTCTAGAACCTGGCCTTAGATGTGAGTATTACTAACCCCACCCCCCAGTGTGTAGACAGTGCACTAAGACCCGAAGCAGCAGGTCCTCACTTCCAAGAGGGGAGAGTCAGCCCAGCCCCAGGGTTCTTGCCCCTGGAACTCAAGGCCCTTTAAAAAAACAGCCCCTCTCTTTTCACATGTTTTTCCTTTAAGGGGAATAGAACTAATTAAAATCTGTCAGAGAAATCATGCACACTCAGCATTAACAGCAAAGCCATCTGACCTCAAACCCAGCGCTCTTTCTCCTAGAACACCGTCAGCAGCCGTGAGGAAGAGGGTTCCCACACAGCCAGCCTTCTGTGTTCCATAGCGTGTGTGTTTAGAAGTGGATTCTATTCTCTTGTTCAATTCTAAAGTCAGCGCAGACAGCCCTGGCACCCACGACAAAGCCCGCCGGAGCCAGGGCAGGCCTCAGTGTGAGGGAGAAAGCAGATCCTGCCGTCAAAGGCTGTGATGTTCATTGCAAGAGTGGCGCTTCTGGACGGCGGGTACAACAGCATGGCCTCGGAAAGAAGGCACG